TTGCTTATCTTGGGAACAACTGATCTGAGCATTGAAAGGCGATCGTTAAGGCGCTTCCTTCTCCTTCTTTCAGCCATTAGATTCTTGGAAGGCTGCCCATTGAGCTTCTTCACCATCTTATTAATCTTTGTTTTTGGACTGTTGAAAGTAGCAGGCACCTGATCAGCTTCTTGAAATTTACGCGTATCCAAATTCTGATTAAGAATAACATCATTACCAAAAAGAGAATAATGTTGTTGAGGAGGGAATTCAAGTGGAGGTGATAAATCATAGATTTCATTGAAAACTGAGTAACTCAGGCTCTGATCAACAGGTAGAGAATAATCCGGAAAGGAAGTATAAGTAGTGGTTGCGGGATTTGTTAAAGTATGAAAATTCATCCATTCATCATTGCCACTGCCACTGGTGCATAATTCATCATTCAATCCAACTGCACCTGTTAGACCTAGTAACTCCTCCAACAAACTATATTGTTCAGTACTATACAACTCCATCTCTCTCTCTCTCTCTCACACACACAGAGGTTGAATTATAATTAGGTTACACAACTTGATAAAATGTAGTGGCATATATATAGGGAGGGATATGAAGAGAGGAAGCTGTCTATCTATTATTTGTATTTTTAATATATATATATATGAAATCTACCGTTCTTATTTTACTCTTCTTGACCGTCATTTTACTTAGCCTTCATTTTAATACAGTTTATAAATTGATTTATACACTCCATCAAATATTTATTTTAATCACGTATTCATAAATAATATTTATTAGTATTTACACACTTTTGGTAATCCATTACTATTCATCTTTATATTTGGATTTATAAAATTGCCGAACATAAGCTAAATTGGAGCTTTAACTCTTAATTAATAAACGAGAAGACATCAACTCTACTCTACAAACGAGATTACTTTTGAAATAATGTTTTCCTATTTATTAGAGACCAACATTAATAGCGGAGATGTTAAATCGTAATTAAAAGGGAATCAGCTTTTTACATCTTTCATTCACTTTCTCAAGGTGATTTTATGTCTTTTTCACCGAATTTTGCTTATGATCATACATCTTAGCCCTTGTTTTGATTAGTATTTAAAATTACATTTTCGAGTTACACATTCTAAAAAATTATTATTTTTCATATTCTTTCCTAAACTTTCAATACTTTATAACTATATATTTCATAAAAATCACTTTTTAGAGTAACTTTTCAAAAAATCAAGTTAGTTGAAAATTTGTGGATTCCATGTAATTGTTGACTTTGATATTAATATTTTATGTAAACCGAAAAGGATGGAATTAGCAAAATAGACTTTCATAAAAGTCAGGTTCGTTGCACGCATAAACTTCAGCACTATTACTTCTTAATAAATAAATATAAAAACAAACAAATGCATAAAGACAAAAATGTTTTTACAAGAAATTGATGAGATGGGGCCCAATGAAACACCTTTTCACAAATTGGCTGGTTGGTTTGATGAAAATTTCAAATGAGTTGGAGAGGCCGTTTTGTTGGGTCTCCACCGGCCTAACATGTTTAGTCAATTAATAGTAGAAATTACATGAAAAGATGTTTAAAGATTATAAATCATAAATTAAATATGAAACTTATTTGTTCACATATCAAGTATTAATATAATAATTAAATATTAAATATCCCAACCCAATTCAATTCCAAACCTTAAAATCATTTCATTCTATTTTCACTCTCACACTCCATCTTCTATCTTCTCACTCTCTCCATCTATCCACACCCTCCTTAATTCAGCGACGACGACGATGACACACCCACTATCGGAGACCGTCGTCACACACACAACAATAACGTACTTGTCGTAAACCGCTGCGGCACACTTTCTTTTCTCTCTCTCTCTCTCTCTCTCTCTCACTCCGGAGCATCACGCTGAGCGTCAACTCACAGCTGCGCTCCACCCACTATCGGAGATGACGGGGCTCATAGCGACGACGTACCCACTATCAAAGATCACCGCACACATTCAATCTCTCTCTCTCTCTCTACCTGAGCATCACGTTGAGCACCACCTTACAAAGGTGCTCCCATCCACTCCCAGAGATGGCGGCGATCACAACGCTATTGCTTGCAGCCCTGCACAATAGTGGCACTGTGTAACAGCGACAGGTCACTAGTTTTTTTGGTTGTTTTGATCATTCGTTATTTGCTTAGTTGTTGGGTTGTTAGTGATTATGGTGGTGGTGGTGGTGCGATAGTGATGGTTGTTGGTGGCTGTAGATCTGATAGTGGTGGTTGATTGGATTTGGTGGCGGTGGTTTTATTGGTGGTGGTGTTAGTGGTGTTGTGGTTGCTGAAGGTGAGGGTGGTTGCAAGTGGTGGTGGTGGTGGTGGCAGTGGCAGTGGCGGTCGTTGTGGTAGTAATGGTATGTGACCCACTATTTGGTGTATGTGACTAACTATTTGATTATCTGTGACCAACTATTTAATTGACGTAAAAATTCGATAATTTGTGACCAACTAATTTAAAAATTATGGCTGACAAATAAATTGCGACATATAATTTTTTTTATTTGTGACCAATGAAATAATCTGTGACCAATTAATTTGATAATATGTGACATTGTGATCTATAAGTACACACATGTGACTATTAATTGTATAATTATGCACTTAATATATTTAATTAATAAAATACAAATAATTAATTAATACCTGAGTTTTGAATTTTGAAACTTAAAATCTGAAAATTGAATCGCCCGTATTTAATGACTGACTTGTGAATTTTTCCCTAATTAATAATCTACCGAAATATCACTATAAGAAATATCACTATAAGAAATATCACTTTTAAGCACGATACTTTTATAATAAAAAATAATTGTGAAGTTGTTCAAAAAAAAAAAAAAAATTACAGTTATCAACAAAAAAAATATCAGTGTATGTATTCATATAGTACCACTAGTCTAGGCTGACGATCTCAACCTCATTCTGTTTTATTCTGTCAAAACGTACTGTAGGAATTATTTAAAATAATTAAAACAATAAAAGTAGCAAGGGATCACATCACAGAATTCAGTAGGCAAATATATACAATCATAGTATTTCTTAATCAATAATTTTGGCTTATGTTATATGTCTCTTCCCTTAAAAAGAATACACGAATACAATATATGCACAAAAAGTAGAGAAAATTGTTGCAGCAGTCCCTAACCTTTCACTTTTTTCGCAGATCTTATTCTAATTTTCATTTTGTGCTATCCACAGTCCCAAACATTTTAAAAATATGCACCGGAGTCCAAATGGATGATCCATTTGACTGTTAGTTGATCGGAAAGTCAAAATTCGATTTATTTTGATCAAATTAAAAAGGGTAAAATGACAATTTTTTAATTATCACATTAAATAAATAAATAAATAATCAGAGGAAAAAAAAAACCACACGCCAGCACAAAGTGGAAATTGCATAAAATCAGGCATTTAGTTTGACATTTTAAAAAATCGGGTTTACACTTTATTTATTAAAAAATCAGGTATTTTA